TAAAAATACATTTCATCAACATATTTAAAAATTATATTTTTATCAAAATAAAATATTTTACGAAAAAAAAATCATTCGACTATTCCGTTATTAAGTTATCTGAAAATCATATTTCCTTCTAAATATTTTCACCTAATATTTTTAAACAGTTACATAAAAGATCCATTAATCGAATAATTTAGTGATAAAAGCTTATTTTTTATTTTTCTTTTGTAAGAAAATGTAGGTTTTTTTAATAATCCGGTGTAATTTTTATTGTTTCGCACTTTGTCCGCTCGAAATTATGTTTGAAGTTCAAGAAAATAACAATTTTTTTTTTTATTTTGTACCCGGAAAATAAAAACACCAATGAAAAATGAAATTGCCTTTATTATTCAATTGAGGGTGCATTGTGAATGATTTATTATATTTTGAGGGTGCAAAGTGCTATTATTATTTTTCGAGGGTGCAAAGTGCCAAAATGGTATATTTCAAGGGTGCAAAGTGGAATTAAGCCCAACATTCGTAATTTGGAATTATGAATGAGAATAAGAAAAGGAAAAGTATAGGAGAACATCTTAGTGAACTTTCTAAATCGGGAAGTTTCCAAATTTAGAAAGTGCACTGAATTAGGGTTTCCGCTTTTAGAAAGTTGGAAATCGAGAATTGGCACTCCTAATGACGAGGGTATTTTCATGATTCCGAAAATGTAATCGTTACAAATTTCCGATCATTGAATTGAGAGAAAACGAGCGAGTAAAGAACTCACGAACTTAAGTTGTTGGGCCCGGTCCAACTTAAGCCCGTTAGGGCTTTTATAAAGACACTATAAATACTTGATTTATAGGTCTTTCACACACACAACACATATCACAAAAGCCTAGCCGCTCGTCTCTCTCTCTCGGCCGATCTCTCCCGCGGCCACCACCGTCGCCGCCGCTAAGTCGCCGGAATCGGCCCCCCTTGGACGATTGTCTTGGTAGGTCTTTTCCTCTTTTCTTTTCTTCCGTATATACTAACTTTTGTGTGTCTAGTGCCACATATTCAGTAGATCGAAGTATACTAGGTGAAATCCGAGAGGAGGAAGATCGAAGATTCGAAGAACCGAGGAGCAGCCCCGAGCCGACGATGCACGCGCTCCCACGCGCCGCCCGAAGATAGCGTGTGATCCACACTCGCCGCCGTCGCCGTCGCCACCGCCACCGTAGCTTCGCTGTCGCCGCTCCCCGACTGCACGCATTGGTTTACATGGCAGTCTTGCTTCGATTCGTGCGTCAACCTCACGCTTCAAGAGGTAATTCTCGAATCCGGTACTCGTTAGGTTTTTAATTTAATTAGATTAAATTATCCATGTTCGTAGTATGTTTCATGAATTAATATGTGTTTCGTGTTTATATGAAATTCATGATTTACTGCGAGCATGCTAAATAATTTAATGCAAGCATGCTAATTGATTTACTGTCGATTAAAGTAATTCGCATGATTGTCATTTTTAATTTTCGCTGGAAGCGCAAAGGTACGCAATTAATTGTTTAATAATTGTCGGGCATATGATTATGTGATTTAAATTCTTTTAATTCGCATAAAAAAATTTTCCGCTGCGTACACGTGCCCGATTCCCAATATAACTGCTTTGGTGTTAACTATATTCAGCAAATATGCGGCAGTGCGAAGTGCGTGACCCCACAAGTATGCCGGGAAGTTGGTGAATCCCATCATAGATCGAACCATGTCTAACAAGGTTCTATTCCAAAGTTCAGAAAAATCTATTTAGTTTAGGAGTTCCAGGTGGAGTCCATTGAGATTGTATTCCATTCTCTTTTAGATAGTCAAAGAACTTGATGCTCAAGTAATCTCCACCACGATCGGATTGTAGTTTTTTAATACTTCATCCGAGTTGTTTCTCTACTTCGTGTCTAAAATCTTTGAACTTTTCAAATATTTCAGAATTGTACTTCATCAAGTACACGTATCCATACCTAGAGTAATCGTCGGTAAAGGTGGCGAAGTAGTTGTAACCACCCTTCGCACTAACACTTAGTGGACCACATACGCCTGTATGGATCAACTCCAAAAGACATTCGGCCCGCTCCATTTTCCCTTTGTAGGGTGACTTGGTCATTTTCCCTTTAAGGAAAGATTCACAAGTTTGTAGTGATTTCACGTTGTCCAAAGTGAACAATCCTTCACTAACAAAATCGTTCATCCTTCTTAAAGAGACTTGACTTAATCTAGCGTGCCAAAGTTGTGCGGGGTTTTGATCTATCTCCTTAAGTTTTGCTGATATAACATTAATAGGTATTTCACTTGGATTTAGTTTATATAAGTTGTTTAATAGTCGTGCCTTGCAAATCTCATTTTCATTCTTTTGTATAATGCAAATTGAATTTCCAAAAATAAAAGTAAAACCTTCAATATCCAAAACATGAATAGAAATAAGGTTTCTAATGAGAGACGGAACAAATAAACAATCGTTCAAAACAATAAGAAAACTGGAATCCAATAAATTTAAGTAAATAGTCCCAATGGCTTCAGCAGCAACTCTTGCTCCATTCCCCATCCGTAGGTAGGTCTCACCCGCTCTAAGCTTTCTACTTCTTTTCATTAACTGCAAATCATTACATAGATGTGAGCCACAGCCCGTATCTAATACCCAAGAAGAATAATTTACAAACAAATTTACGTCAATGAAATACGTACCCTTTTCATAACGTTTCTTCTTTAGGCAAGCCTTGCAGTGCGGCGCCAATGCCCTTTCTTTCCATAGTGATGGCAAGCATCAAAAGTCTGCTTGCTAATTTTCGCTTTAGGGCCTCCACTACCTTCACCCACTTCGAACATGCTGTTTGTAAAGGGAACTCATTCCTTTCTCTTCTTTTAGAAAGAATTCTTTTTTCCACAAGTGGCAGCAACGAGAACAAATTTCTCTTTCTTGATAGTGGACTCAAAACTGACTAACATGTTCATTAACTCATCCAATGGAGGATCAAGTTTGTTCATGTTGAAGTTCACTATGAATGATTCATAGGAACTAGGAAGGGACAACAGGATCAAATTCGACGAGAGCTCAGCAGGGAGGGTGATGTGAAGGTTCACTAGCTTCTCAAGGAGAGTGATCATTTTAAGATAGTGCTCGTGGACCAAAGCACCTTCTCACAGTCCCGCAGTGGTCAACTCTTTGTTAGCAGAGTACCTAGACGCCCTAATATTATCACTATACATGCTATCGAGAAGAGCCTTGATGTCGAAAGCTTGTAAGTGAGACTCATATTTTCTCGCAAGCGCGGGCTCCATGGCTGCTATCATGTAGCATCTAGCATGAGTGTCTTCCTTTTCCATGCTTCATAAGTATTCTTTCCAGCATCGGTCGCAGTGTCAGATATAGTGGAATGAAGTCTCTCATTTAGCACTTAGAGACTCCACTCAACAGTGAGCACAAGTTTTAGACTACGTAACCAATCCAGGTAGTTTGGGCCATTGAGTTTTTGGTCGAGGATATATATTATGGGATTCTTAGACATGATTATCTAAGAGGTTAGAGAAGAAGGTTATTAGAGATTCATATTAAATGATTTTACAATTAAATATTTGGACTTTTATTATTTAATTGTTCTCCCACTAATTTTACCGAGTTCCACTTCCCTCTAGTATACAAACGAGAAAACCGATTTTTCTTTAATGGGATTTAGGTCCAATAGACAAATATAACCAGTAGTTAATTTAGCCCGATTATATTTGCCCAAAGGTAGATCACAATCAATCATATCATTTATATGACCCTAAAGTAATTTTCTCACACTTGATAATGACCTAAGTTAATCTCGCAAATTCAAAATATCCGTGTGTCAAGTCTAACCTACCAATCAAAGATTCTCATAGAACTTAATTATACCAAACTAATGCAGTCCCTAGTTAATCTAGCCGACCACGTTAATCAGACATATCATCTTTATGTCAACTGAATTACAGCTTAGCTTACTATAGTGCTCCCCGGTAACACGGCTTACTGCACTATTGCAAGGGGCTACACATAATTCAACCATTGGCAGAAGGAAAGAAAAATTCAACAGCTTGGTTTTTCTTTATAGCTTGAAATAGTTCTTAATTAAATTAAGAATTAAAAAAAAAAAAAGTGAAAATCAAGCACACATGTCACCGTTGAGCATGTTGGAAAATAAAAGGAAAAGAAAAAATTTGGAGACGGTGATTGGTGAGAGTGAGGCGAACGACGACGTTTCGGCATTAGATGGGCCAAAAAAATGACCAAGAAAAGGCATAAAAAAAAGGGGACGATCCCCATATATGAGGGATTTTTGAGAAAGTTTTATCTCATCAGAAGGTTTGGATTGGTCGATGTGATTCCTACATCTATGTTCTCTAAAGGTATATGGAAACGCATATTGTCCTACAAGGAAAATACGACCTAACTATATAATTAATTACATTAATTAATTATCGGGATTTTCAAAATAATTACAGGACGCAATTAGCATAAATCAATCAAATAATATTGATGTACTAATAATTAAGTTGAAGTATAATCAATATTATATATGTATTCTATTAATGAAGATCCATTTAACAATTTAAAATTACTAAAATAGATGATTGTTGAATCGATAATCTAATTTTTTTTTTTTTTTTTTGGCCAAAAGATTTTATTATTCCATTATGATAAAAGATGGGGCCTCGTTAAAACCTTGTGGGCCTACACAAGGAAAAAGAGTACCCCTACAATGGTAATAAAAAATCAGAAGCTACCCTATCGAAGCTATTACAAGAAAGCCCCAAAGCGGGGTAAAAATGACAACCTCCAAAGCTAGAACTATTAAAATTGCAAAAGTGGCCCTTGGTGGAGGTAAACATGTAGCTTCACTTACTCATCCAGCAAACTCCCAAAGCCAACTTCTGAAATTGCATATTAACCCCAACTCTAGAATTGGTAATTGCAGATTGCACCCTAGGAGATAGAGATGCAATATATGCCCAACTCCACTTCAAAAACCAACTGTAGAAGAAAGTCATGGACGAAAATTGGCGACTCCCAACTTATCACTTATATATGCAGCCCGGGCCTCCCTCGGTAAACTCATTTCAGAGAAATATTCTTCATTTGACTTATGAGAATACGCCCAATTAGCCAATCTATCCGCGACCGTTTTTTTTTGCCTCACGACGTGCTGGAACAAGAAGGAAGGCTCTATCTCCTTCAAGCATTGCCGAAAAATATACTCAAGCTCCCATGCAATGTACTTGGTCCGAATTGCATTGATGACCAGTAAGGAATCACTTTCCACTATAATTTGTGAGAGACCGAGAAGCTTGCACAATCTAAGGCCATGAACCACCGCCGAAAATTCCGCAAAGTTATTGGTGCCAACCCCAAAATATTTTGAAAAACTAGCAACTATTCCTCCTTCCGAATCCCTAACAATCCCACCGCCCATACATTCCTCCGCCGTGGAAGAGCCATCAGTATTAAGTTTAAAAGCACCACCCTTGGGCCGCTCCCATTTGAACCATTTTCCACGCTTATAGCTAGGCTGCACTAAATAGACTCCAATGGCTTGGAGTTGGAGACTTTGAAGCTTCGTAGACGGCTGTCGAGGAACATGATTGATGACCACGTGCTGAATGTGAGAGAATACTCGACGAATAATATTTTCTCTATGCATGACTCCCCCATCATAAATTACTTTGCATCGAGCCACCCACAGCTCACGAAGAATATGACACACAGTAGAGGTTCGAACCATTGTGTACTGCGATTGTATTTGTGGTTTGGGGACCCATACAGCAAGAGCATGCTTCGCCGACACAAACTGCGATGGGTAATGAAATAGCAGGCTAAAGTGCTACCATACTTGCCCCGCCACTTCCGATTGGAAAAAAAGATGTTGGACGTCTTCTTGTTGAGGATTTTTACAGCAAACACATCTGGAAACCATCGGAATTCCTCTAGAGATAATTCGTTGATCAACGGGGAGCGCGTGATGTATCAATTTCCACATGAATCCACCTGTCTTGTGTGGCAAGAACTGGTGCCATATGCGATTTGTCCACGCCTCTCGTCGCCCCAAAACCCGAATATGTCTCCAGTACTCTTTAGTCGGGAAATCCCCAGATTGTGTAAGAGTGAATATCAACCGATCCGGCTGATCAGGATCCAACGTAACTTGCCTTACCGACTCATGCAGGGAAGGAGGAATTAATTTAAGATATTCCGAGAGATGTTGCATGGCGGTTGCAACAGTTAAAGTGTGGTCACTCGGAAGAGGCCCAACAAACACTTCACCAACCCAATTATCCGCCCAAAATCTTATATCTCCGGAACCCACATTCCACTTGGAACACTCGGCAAGTGAATCACTATGACTATATATCGACCTCCATAAAAGGGAGGTCGATTGGCCGCTACTGTTCCGACGTTTATCGCAATACTTGGCATTAGCGAACTTCGCCCACAAAGACTTTTTTTGCATAACGTGCCACAATAGCTTCCCATGCAAACACCACATCACCTGATTAAGGCCCCGATACCCAAACCCCCCTCTTCAACCGGAGTACAAATAGTTTTCCATTTCACCCAGTGAGTCCTCGAAGCACCGCCAGAACTCCATAAAAAGGCAGCCAGTAATTGCTCGAGCCGAGTAATAACCGATATAGGCACCTTCTAACAAGCCAACGAGTAAATCGGGATGCTACTCAACACCGCCTTGAGTAACGTAATTTTACTTGCAAAAGAAAGTAATTTCCCTTTCCAGCCTTGAAGTTTACCTCGAATCTGAGTGACGAGATATTCGAAAAATTTCGCCTTAGTCCTACCGGAATAAATGGGAACCCCTAGATACATGAGAGGGAGGGTTTTCCGACTGATCCCTGTAACTTGCTCAATATTTCTACTCTCCACTTCTGCCCATTTACCCACATAAAGATGTCTTTTAGTCACATTAACGAGCTGCCCCGAGGACCTTTCATACGAATGAAAAATCTCCATTAGCCATTGTACAGAGTGGCGCCCTCCATTCGTAAATATGAGAATGTCGTCCGCATACAGTAGGTGTGAAACCGAGAGTTCATTATGGCCAACCTTGTACTGGGAGATTTCCTTAGAATCAATTTTTTTTTTAACGTTAAATGTTAATATCTGTTGGGCGAGAATAAATAAGAGAGGCGAGAGCGGATCCCCTTGACGAACCCCACGCGAAGATTTGAAATTGCCAACCATTTCCCCATGAATGCGAAAGGAGTACCATATATTGCATATATTTCTGTAAATTAGATCACATGATGCATGAGAGAAGCCAAAAGCACGCATTGCCCGAAGAAGAAAGCGCCACTCTAGTCGATCATATGCTTTTGCCATGTCCAATTTAAAAATAACATTGCCGCCCTTACACTTTCGATTAATATCACGCGTCAATTCTTGAGCCATGACTATGTGCGACATAATATTACGATCTTTGACAAACCCTGCTTGCTCCTCTGAGATTAGAAACGGAAGAATTTTCCCCAGTCTAGTAGCAAGGAATTTAGACAAGAGTTTTCCGGAGAAATTACCGAGACTTATTGGCTTATAGTCACCAACGGTCCGAGCATTATCAATCTTAGGAATTAAAACCAAAGTGGTTAAATTCATCTCTTTAAGAATGTGACCCCCTCGGAAAAAGTCGATTATAAAATTCGATAGTTCCACTTTAATAATATCCCAGCATGCGACATAGAAATGCCCGGTAAAACCGTCTCTGCCAGGGGAGCTATTCGGGTTCAACCGTTTAACCGCCTCAAGAATTTCTTCCAGATCTGGGAGACAGCAAAAGGCTTCATTCACTACATCGGATACTACAGGTTGAACCCCAAGAAATAGATTCTCGTCTAGATCATACTCTGATGCCTTGAATAGATTGGAGAAGAAATCCTGTGCGAGAGCGCCAATTTCCTGGGGTTGAGTCGATGTGGAGCCATCACCACAAGTGACTTGGATAAGAGCTCTCTTTCGGCGATCTTTGATGGTCGCGTGAAAGAGGGCAGTATTACGATCTCCGGATTTGTCCCAAGCCATACGGGCCTTTGAACTAAGCAGCTCTAACTCCCAGTCTTCGTACTGAACTAGCTGTTTTTTAGCCAAAGTAATATTTTCCGAAATTAATTCACTCCAGCCTTGTTGCAATTTATTTTCAAGAGATTCAATGCGAGCTTGGCAACACCGAATATTATTAGTAATATTTCCAAACACCTCCCAGTTCCACTGTTGGAGAGCTTTCTGAACGAAAATAAGCTTCTGTTGAAATACATAAAAAGGGGAACCATGAACTGGAATGGACCATGCATGAGAAACCACAGCTTGAAAAGTAGGGTGGTCAACCCACATACGTTGAAACGTAAACCCTTTCCCAGCCATCTGCTGGCCCTTTTCAAAACGAACACTAAGCGGCGCATGGTCGGACATTGTTCTCTCTAGATGAAGCACCTGCAGAGACGAAAATAATAATTGGAAATCAGAATTGATTAACACTCTGTCCAATCTCTTCCATATCCTATTAAGACCCGATCGATTATTACTCCACGTAAATGGGTTACCAATAAAACCTGCATCCAAAAGTCTGGCTTGCATAACAAAGTCCTGGAAATCATGCATGCGGGAAATATCGGCTAGACCCCCTTTTTTCTCCGAGGCATCCAAGATTGTATTAAAATCGCCACCCACTAGCCACGGCGTGCCCATAGTACCATTCAAGTCATCAAGATGAGCCCAAAGGTCCTTTCTAGTTCGATGAGAGCAACTCGCATATACAAAAGTCGCCGTAAAAAGGGGTTTTTGCGGGATTTCTATAGACACCGTGATAGCTTGCGCAAAGATATTCAAACACTAAACATCAATCTCCGGTTTCCACAAAATCCAGATAAAAGTGTTGATATCATTCCCGTGCAAAAAAGAGGAAAAACCTAACTTCCAGGCAAAATTCTTCAATTTTGAGGAAGGTAATTTAGGCTCCAATATAACCAAAAGGGAAATATGTTGTTGCTTGATAATAATTTTAAGATGATTCACCGTGGCTGATTGATTTACTCCACGAGCGTTCCAAATGAGACACGACATTTAAACATTGGGGTTGGTAGAAAACTTTGCCAGGGATCTGGTAATCCGATCAGTAGGTGGAACATATGCTCTACTGTGGGTTTTCTTATCAGTGGCTGCTTTTTTCGCAATTAAGAATACTTCACTATCAGATTTAGGCGACAATGAGACACCAACTTCGTCATCTTGCTCACCGTTCGAGTGAATTATGGCCAGAGCCAAACTGTCATCAGTCAGAGCCTGGAATTTGTTAGCAGCCAAGACCCTCTCTTCACGGGGACATGTTGTAGTAACTGGGTGTTTGTTAGGGGAGTATCCATTAACTCCATGTTGTTCAGAATTCTCCACGTTCTCCGGTAATATGACATCATCTGCAATAACATCGTTCTTGCGAAAATCCTTGACAGTAATAGCCTCAAAACTAACTTCTGTGCGTGGCATTTCAGAGGTATTGTTAAACGTGGAATTAGTGTTTTCTTGCGCCGCACTATCTTGCCTCGTGGTCTGGTCCGTGGGAACTAGGAGCTCTGATGGATTAACAGGTGTTTGAGTATTGTGAACGTGGTTCTGAGGGGTTCGATCGTCTGAGGGTGGATCATCTTCTCCCCGTCGGAGAATTTTCGTCGGTTGTACTATGGGCTTTTTCTTGTCCGGCGTATGTTTAAGAATTCCAATTTTCTTTCGACAGGCGCCTACCAGATGACCCAAAAGTCCACAGTGTGAACAATACATGTGATTTCCCTCGTATTCAATGCGTTGACACCAGCCTTCATCCTTTGAAGATCCAACGAATATAGCCTCTGGTAGGGTTTGAGCAACATTGATTTCTATGCAGACCCTAGCATAGTTCGTATGAGTGAAAGCGAGGGTACGATCATCGGCACAAAGAACAATACCTAGGGCTCCTCCAATTCTTTCAAGCGAAGATACATTAAAATAAGGCAGCGGCAGCTTCGGAAGTCGGACCCAAACCGCTACCTTATTACTATCTTTTCCTAAAGCAAACTCCGGCGTCCATCTAAATAGCCGGAACATACAGTTCTTGATGCTGTTTGTGTTTCGCGATAGAGCCAATTTCGCATCGCCTATAGAACCCATGTGAATAGTAATATGACGAGGGTCTAAAAACCCTATTGCAGGCTCAGCAGCTAAGTTCCACTCCGCGTTGATATGACTGCGGATTTCTTGCAGACTTGGACGCCCTGCCAAAAACTTCATGATCAACGTATTATCTACGTGTTTATTGAGTTGATCGATCTCGAGTGGTGAGAAGAACACCGCTAGCGCTTGTTCAACGATGGATGATGTACGATTTGCCAGGGGGACGGGGCTAAGGCGAGGGGGAGGAGCAGAACGAGGGGAGGAGATCATGGCGGCGAATGAAGGTCGGGCAGCAAGCAAAGAGTGTTGCTGCCCCGTCGAAGCTGTTGGCAGATCCGGTGGCTTCATGCCGCCGGAAAGGGAAAAGAGAGCCGCTAGGGTTATGAGAGAGAAGAGAGCCGCTAGGGTTCCAAAAGTTTCACAACTAAATATTCCGATAATCTAATTGAGTTTAATTGAAAATAATTTTCCAAACATTAAAATCAATTTGTTTTAAGTTTAATTTTAGAAATCTGCTTTTTTTTTTAATTTTTTTTATTTCAGTAAACCGGTCCAGTCCGACCGGTCTGACCGGTTCCGACCGCAACGGTCCGGTTTAGTTCGGCCCAGTTGGCCGAATCAGTGGGTTGGGTCAGTCAGACCGAGAATCGGTCTGACCCACCTGAATCCACGTCGATTCGGTCAGTTGGATCGAAAAGAACCATCGAACCGGCCGGTCTGACCGGTTCGATCCGGACAAACCAAATAAAAAAAAAACAGTTTTATTTAAATTTCAGATCCGATTTTCCAATTTAAAAAAAAATAAGTTTGAAAAAATTCTAAACACTATTTCAAAAATATTTTAAACTTTCGAAAACACCTAATTAAATAATACAACCATCACAATTTTAATAAATCGAACATGCATTAAAATAAGCATAATACATTAACGCAATTAATTGCGCAATGAGCTTTGATACCACTGTTGGGAATCGAGCACGTGTACGCATCAGAAAACAAAAAAGTTTATATGAAAAACGATTTCATTCATATAAACACGTACTCGATAATAGCAATTAATTACGTACCTTAACACTTCCAACGAAATTTAAATTACAACATGCATATTAATTCAATAATTAAAACATGTAGCATGCCCGCAGTAAATCAAATTATATATACAAATGATTTCACATAAATTTTCAAGCAAAATCATACATAAACAATTTCACGAAAACATTCAATCAAAACCATTCCTTCGAATATCAATGTTTAATTTAATCTAATTAAATTAAAACCTAATACATTACGGATCCGAAAATGTACCTCTTGAAGTGTGAGGCGAGTTCTAGGATTGAA